CCCACACCCACCCACACCCACCCCACACCCACACCCACACCCACATACCCACACCCACACCCCATCCACACCCAAGCTAACATGCCGCTACCGCACCGCGGTGATAAAAACAGAAAACCTACCGCAACGCTGCCGCGGCGCCACCAAAAATAACCATGCCGCGACCGCGCCGCTGCCGCGATGGACATCTCTGATTTAAACTTACAATATAATTTTTTTTATCAAGAAAAATAAATTGATTTCGAGCAACCCATATAGCATTCAAATCAGATAAATGACGCCCTTCAGATTGACAAGTTGCAATAATTACAATAAATTCATATTTAACGTATTAAAAATTGCGAATATATAATAAAATTTTTCCATGTTGTTGTTGATTTATCGAACAAAAAGAAAAGAATTCAATGATGAACACATACTTGAATATTGTGTGTTCGTCTGCTTCGTGTGCTCACAAATGAACATGACAGAAGCAAGAATGAGAAAAAAGGTCCAGACAATAATTTTTTTTCTTTTCTTCTCTCGTCCGTAAGTTATGCTTCATGTTGTCATTGATGATCAATGATAATATGACATAATGATCGTGTACGTCAATTAAGCATTATCCATACACGTACATTGAGATATTTGTGATTGACTTTATCTCAATGTATGCGTGTATGTTGATAATAGCTTAATTATTATCATCTTTTCATCACTCTCTGACGAGTAAAAAAAAAAAGAAAATTATCGATTTTTAATATATAAATATGAATGATTTTCTATGTAAAATTATTCAATTTATTGAATCATATAATAATCTTTTCTTTTTATATTTTAGATTGATTTCGACGATACAAAATTAAACAATTCAATTCAATACAAGGCAATAAAAAAAATGTAGGTATTAGTTTTTTTTCCTTCTTTTTTTTCTTTTTACGATTATATGGAGACGAGTAAGTTCTTCTATGATCTTTTTTATCCGTGTATTTTTTTCTTTTTCTTTTAGACGTCATCATCCAAAAGCAACGAGTGAGTAATTTTTTTTCTTTTTTTTTTTTTTTTTGAGATGAGAGGTAGTTAAGTGAGTGTTAGAGGGAGAGGGGGTATGCTGAGGTTAGGTTCGTCTTATAAGAAGGACTTCCGGGTAGTCCCTAAAAGCCCGGTCAGGAACTGCTTTGGTGTCCATGGCAACACGATCGGTCCCCGAGACTCACTGACATATGACATCGGATGGGTGCATGTGGATGATGTGGGTTCTCCCGCGCGTGCATGAGAATTACGCTCGCCATGGCTCCACCAGGGTGGTTCCTCGTCGCGCGCGCGTGCGCGAGAATAGAATAAATTTGAATGCATTTTTTCATTCAATCGCAATTTATTTGAAAGAGGAAAAAAACAGAACGTAACAAGAAAAATTAATCATACAAATTGAGTTTATTCAATATTAAATTTTTGTACTCGATGATTTCTCTGATCGACGATATAGAGATTACCATGTCGATCGAATGATAAACCTATGGGCCAATTGAGTTGATTCGACTGTGCTCCTTGTCCGTTTCCACCAATAATGACACTTCCTTGTGTAGATCCTTTTGGCCAACGCATGATTCTGTGATTCCGAGAATCAGCCACATAGACAGTACCCAATTGATCGACAACGACTCCATTAGGACAATACAATTGTGTAAGACTATTTCCGTGTCCTTGACTGCCGGCTACAACAACGCCTTGTTTTGCACCTTCTTCCCATTTCATTACACGACTATTTCCAGAATCAGACACATATACTGAATGATCTCGATCGACAAAGACGTAGCGAGGATTAGAGAGTTTATAGAGACAATTTCCTTTTCCATTGCCACCTGCAACTACTGTTCCTTGAGTATCATCAATTTTATATCGTTTCACTTCGTGTTTTCCAATGTCAACGACATAGAGAGAACCATTGTCATCCATTGTCAAACCAAAGAAAGCGATATTTGAAATAATTGTTTCTCCACGAGTACCATTTCGACGAGGCCATCGAACTACTCTGTCATTCCAACTATCGCTGATGATGAGACTATCGCTCTCTTTGTCGATAATCACATCTCGTGGGTAGTTTAATTGATGAGCTCCATTTCCTTCTCCATTTCCACCAGCAACTACTTTTCCATTTGTTGCACCATATTTCCATTGTACAATACGATGATTTCCCCAATCAGCGACGTAAATCGTTTGATCATCATCGACGTACAAACCACTTGGGTCATAGAGTTGATTGGTTTCACTGCCTCGTCCATTTCCTCCAGCAACAGTGATACCATCCTTTGACCATGTTGCATTGGAATGCATATCAATGGAACTTGCACGTAGTGGTACTGAAATGAAACAAAATTATGGTATAGAAATAAACATCGATTTCATATTGCTAAGAAATTCATAAGATATTTGTAATTTAATTGATACGATCAGAAGAAATATCTAATTTTTTGTAAACATATTTATTGAATGTCATTGTTCTACTTTTACAATAATTAAAACTTCTGTATTGGCTTTTTTTGTTCAGAGACAAGAGTTTCAAAGAAGAAAAGAGAATAAAATCTATTGCATCGTTTTAGTTTTAATTTTTGTACTCTAGGGTGTGGGTGTGGGTAGGTGTGGGTGTGGGTGTGGGTGTGTGTGGGGTGTGGGTGTTGGTGGGTGTGGGGTGTGGGTGTGGGTCTGAGTCAACTCAATAACTCTACTAATATTCACACCCACACGCCACCCTAAACAGTAAGATTTCGCTTTTGAAAGAATTTCGGATTGATTATTTGTACGTCGCTGTGACGCATTCGGAATACATCCGAAATTTTGAAAACACTGGGTATATCCATGAGAACTTCGGAAATGGATTTTGGTTCTCCGCTATACTTTTTAGAGACAGAGAATTCTGGAGAACCTCTTTGTTTTCTGTGGAAACATTTCGGAAACTGTAAAAGGTTTGTTCCCATATCCCAATGGATACCTATTCAATTTTCTAGCAATAGCAGTTTCCTACAATACCCCAAAGGTTTCTGAACATACGATTGGATTTCCGATATCACGACGATGGTATTCCAAAATACCTTAGGAGTGTTCAAATGGGTAGTGCAGGGTATCAGAGTGTTTCAGAACGCTCGGAAACGAAGAGAGTATTTTTAGAAACGCTACAAGGGTCCGAAAATTCTAGTGCAAATCTTTAAAGATTTTCAAATGGGTTTTCGAAGGTGTTTGGGTTTTTTGGTAATCACATTGTTCTAGAGAGTAATCAAATCAAAGTCTGAAGTGACAAGATAAGAGACCAAATCAAGATATGAAACTTATATATATATATATGAATTGAGAAACCATCGCTCTGTCTACCAAACTATCCTGTGTGATTAGCAGTTCTAAAGATTTTGGGACAATGATTATAGGTACAAATCGATCCAGCTATTTTCATAATGTATTCATAGGAAAAAGATTCGATCCGATGAGGGATCAATTCATGTTAGTGAGTTATATGCAGGAGAATGTCAAGAGAGATACATGTATCTAGAATAGACCCTCTAGCGGAAAACTATTCGCTGAGGAATTGTTTTATTTTATAGATTTTCTATAACAATCCCTGTGACAAAATGTTTTTAAAATAAATCATTGGAAAAATCTTTCCAACGATAAGTTAATTTATAGTCAGATGTATTTAGATTAACCCTTTCGGAGTGATGGGTTCCCCGGTGAGACCCACTATAGCATGGTTGAGAAGCTCGTTTATCGTAGAAAAAATTGAATATCTGTACCATTATTTGACCAAAGGAGCTAATTTTTTTATGGTTAATAGAGAAATGCTTATAGTTAATATTGATAAGAGAAACATCGATAAAAGATGTGCTGAAGTACTAGATTTGCTACAAATAAAGAAATGAAACCTTTCACGAATTAAAGGGTGTTTCATAATAACTGACCATAGATTGTTAATGATATTTTTCATACCTTTTCTTGACATAGAGTGCTGAAATTTTTATGACATACATATCTAATCAAGATCTTGTATACCTGAAAGTTTCAGCTTTCTAGATAAACCTAGTAGTGAAATGCAGCGACAAGATTGAAATACGTAAATTTTCGTACTCAATATTGCAGAGTAGTTCCACGAGTAGTTAACTAAAAAATCAAAAAGTATTCAGAAAATTTTCTTTCGTATCAGAATTTGTAGAGCTTTTTTTGCTTATCATTTTGTTAAAAAAACTTTTCGAATTTCAGTGATGTTAGCGTCAATAGAGGTCACTCTATTACCGCTAACTTTCCAGTTGTGTTCTATTGGATTATCCTCCATTCTCTAAATGGTCAGTGTGTGTTTTTCTCTGGACATTCCAGTGATTATCCTTCTTGTTGTTTTTCTCTCTTCAGTTGGTGTTGATTTTCCTCCTCGGTGGTCGCAAGTTGTTTTTCTCTTCCCTTATCTTTTCCCTTCCCATATTGTTCTTCATTATTATATTGTTATTATTATTATTATATGTTTATGAATATATTCATATTAATAAACCCATATATATATATATCCCCAACTCATTCATCTTATTATCAACGTAATCAAAGTCAGTATGATTATTTACTTCATTTACGTTAGATCTCTCGTTCCCGTTGCAGACCGGGATTAAATATACTGATCATCTGGCCATAACCGATAGTGTCAGGCTAGAATCACAATTTCCCCCAACGAGAGCCTAACAAGTGAGAAATGATGATGTTATAGGCAAAATATTTATCGTAAAAGCAGAAGATGTCAGATTTTTTTGATACGAATATCGGATACAATGTTCAATTGAGATTTATTCATCCTAATCGCCTGTATCTGAGAAACTGAATATAGAGTTTTGTAGAACAAACTTTCCTCTACAAAACCTACTATGTCACATTTCTCCAAAATATAGCCATTTTGAGATATGTACATCGACTTATCCTTACATTTTAAGCTATTTTACAGTGTTTAGTATTTTGACTATAACATTGTCATTTCTCAGAGAAATTTGAAAAGTTTTTTTTATCAAAATGTTCAGCGAAAAAAAACTGTACCAAATCTGATACGAAAGAAAATTATTTTGAATACTATATGATTTTTTGGTCGACTACCCATGAAACTACCATGCAAGATTTTCACAGTCAAAATATTGCAAAAATCGAGTACGAAAATTTATATATTTCAGTCTTGATGATGCATTTCACTACTAGGTTTAGCTAGAAAGCTGAAACTTTCAGGTATACAAGATCTTGATTAGATATGTATGTCATAAAAATTTCAGCACTCTATGTCAAGAAAAGGTACGAAAAATATCATTAACAATTTATCCTCAGTTATTATGAAACACCCTTTATGGGAAAGCAATATTCATATCGCCGCGAATGGGTTAATCTTATAAAAGACATTATACTTTCATAATATGTGAAACAGATAAAAAACTTCAGGTACTTTAAAAAGATCCAATAAATCCTAAAAAGATATGTCCTGATAGCCTCCAAAATAATGCTGTTCTTATTGACCTGTCCCTGAATAGTGATTGATTATCATGCATGAAATCTACATATAGCACTGATTATCTTACCGTTTTTGGTTCTATCAGTTCCTGCAGTCTGCCCTCTGATCATAAGTGCTTTTCTGTGCCATTGCATACTTGTGTCGTGTTTGCCTTGCGCCAAAGTGATTACATCAAGTTCGTCATACAAACTGAGAAGCGAAGCATCATTCGGCGAAAGTTCTTGTAACAAACGATTATAGTACTGTTCAGCCAGATCAAATTTGCCCATCCTCCATAACAACTTGCCCAGTGTCCACAGACTCGTCTCCCCGGTGTCGATTTCTTTCTTCATGTTCGCAAGAGCTTCCTGCAAATTGTGTTCATCATCACCACACAAGGACATTTGAATTTTCCACACTTGATCATTACCGCACTGGATAGATTCGAGATAGAAAACCGAACCAAGCATAAAAAGTACCTCGGATTCTTCAGAAAAATGGCTAAGACTGCTAATATCAGCGAATGGCTTCGCCGAGACCAATTTCGGATCAGCATCAATTTCAAATAGAACTCGTTCTAAATCAGTCTTGTGAGCCCTATCGCCAATAAATAAATCAGCTATTTGATACTTTTTGCTGGTGGAAAAAAATGAACTTATAGAAATGAGTTGGCCAATGCTGTTTTCGAGATAATCTAGCTCATCGATTGACATTAACTGACTTCGATAAAATCGAACAGGTTGCTGACATTGATAATGCTGTAGCTGATGATATATGTCGACAATGAATGAACGGTACAAGAACATCATATGAACATTTTGCTTGCGCAGAGCCGCATTCAGAGTCTTGTAGAAGAATGAATCACGAGTGTACCACTGCAAAGCATTATCAGATGTGTAATCCCTTTGGAATTCAAGTAGTTTGGCCAGTTCGACACGGTTGCCTTTGTATTCATTCTCAAAACAAGAGATGAGTTCCTTTCTATCCATATCGTTGAGTTTCAATCGAAGAAGACAATCGATAAGTAATTCAGAAAAAATGAATTGATAATTGCTTTCTCTCGTAGATTTTCCAGCATCGCCGTTGATACTAAACATGTTCATCGACAATGGTTCTTCCATCTTCATCTGTTTCTTATGATCTGCTTTAATTTGAGAAATTAGCTCTTCCGGTTCATCACCAACGATCTTCACCTAAACTGGCGATACAACACAACTGACCGATGTCAAAAGAGTCTTACCTTGACGAATTTATGTGCCCACTGTTCATCGTGTTCCTTGTCTTTGGAACGAACATATATTGCCGAGACTTGCCGAAGTTTATGAATAGAAGATACCACTTGTCGCGTCAACTGGTCGCTAACGATGAGCACTAGTCGATCGTGTTTTTTCCTTTGCTCAATATATTGCTTACATTCAGTCACATCTTGAAATGTCTTGAGATGATTGATAATCGAACGCAATTTTTGTTGCATATCTTGATTCTCTTCGCTGTAGACATCTGAGTCAAGCCAAATAAGGCTGAATATTTCAAGGGAATCGTCATTGGAATTGGCAAGAGGATCAATAGAAGGTAGACTAGCCATAGCCATCTTGCAAATTAGAAACAACGAAATTATATCTGTTCAAAAGCTTCTTTCATTGATGTGAGAATCGA